TTAAGAATTTACTGCTCATTGGCATGATATTCAGGATGAATACAGTTACTGCTCATTGGCATGATATACCAAGTTTATGTATTTATTGCTTCATTGGCACGATATACCAAGTTTATGTATTTATTGCTTCATTGGCATGATATACCTAGTTTATGCATTTGCTGCTCACTGGCATGATATACAAGGTTTATGCATTTGTTGCATTAATAGAATTACCCTGCCGACCATGTGGCACAGAGATGCTGGTGGCAGAGAGGTAGCACAGAGATGCTGGTGGCAGAAAAATTACACAAAAGTTGGGACTGGTTACTAAAATTTTTGAATCCCACTACTGTGTATATGTACAGTTCACTGCAGTTCCTTATCTAGTTAATAAACTCCTGTAAATTTTTCAGATTTGGTGAAATTTGCTTGTTGGTGACATATTGCCACAGCTTGCTCTTCAGTGAATAGTATCCCTAGTGAACACAACAGGAATATGATCTGCATTGGATTGTCTAGCTCCAACTAGAGGATGAGATTATATTATTGTTTCTAAGCATTTGAGGAATTAGAGCTAGATACGAGTTTACCAAACACAATCAGATTATGCCCTTAATCTCTTGAACAAACAAATCAGTTCATGATTACAGAATAACTTGAAGGTTGAAATGATATTAAAGTGAAGCAGGATGGAATATACATTAACATAAGTATGACAGCAAGATAATTTATTGTTATAGGTTAAATACCACTTGAAAGCCACTATCTGTAGTTTTTTATTGCAGCCATAAACTATAATACTGTTTATTCTTCCTATAGTGATGTAGCGTCCAGTAGGACAATTTCCACTTTAGGTCTCTCCACCTGTCACACATTTATATAATTAAAATGTTCTAAGCAGTTTCTGGTAAATGTAAAATAATAATTACACTTTGAAATGTATGTCTGTCATATAAAATAAAAAATCCAGACCATGAATGCAGTCTATACATACAGGGAATCAACTGCATAGCGTCAGGTATAATTGATATTTGTTTAACGCAGGGGAGGGCAAACAATAGACATCCCGATGTTGTAGTGCTGCAACTTCCATGCTGCTTTGTTATTGTAAAGACTGACAAAGCATCATGGTAGTTGTAGTTCTACAACATCTGGGGATCTATTTTTTTCCCAAGCACTGGTTTTAAACTAAATGGCCAAGTCAAAGCTGGCAACCTTTGGCCTGTTGGCAAGTAGTAACAAATGTACATATTTTTTTTTTGGCATGAAACACATAGATCTCAGTCTGTATGATACTACTACTCATATACTACAAACATGGACTTTAGTGTACAACTATAAAATTCCACCTATACATATGTACAAGGAGAACTAGCAAGAGAAAATATAATTATAACTTAACTTTGGGTATACAGCTTCCCTAAGGTTACCTCCTAGTTTGGTTATCACAGTTATATGCAATATCGAATTCTGGGATCCAGCTGAGATCGCTAGTATATATAAATAATACAAAACATGCAATATTGTCTAAGAAGAAAGTGACAGAACACGTTTTGAGTGCACTCACAAATTTGTTGTGATAATAAACCCTTAAAGGTGCCTCCCCTGTTGTGGGCGATTAAAAGTATTTTCCTAGAAGCCAACCTGGAATCCAATCTGGAAGACCATCTCAGGAACCACAGTGGTTAAAAATCCAAAGATCAAAGAGGTTTGATCAAAATTACACAATTGCTTTATTGAAATATATAATGCTAAAAACAAATTCAAAAAGAAAGAAAATAAATAATAATAATAAAACAAACACTGTAATGGGTCATATGCATTTTGTTCTCCACCAAGAACTTCCTCAGGGACCAGCAAATAAAATAAACAATAAATTACAATTGCCAAATACATCTATGATGGTTAGTGGTATTTTTGAGCCTGTTTACGACTGTCTTGAGTACTTG